ACCCCATATACGTGGAAACCTTACCCCACTCCCCACAACAGACCTTATACATACCTGAATCTGCCGAGAAGGACCTGCTCATCAAGAACATGGCGAAAGAACTCAAGAAACTTACTAGTCGAGTCCAAGGTGTTGAAGGAGGTGAAGGCATCAAAGGTTTGAATTATGAGGATTTGTGTATTCAGCCGGATGTAGAACAACCAGAGGGTTACAAACCTCCTAGGCTCGAAATGTTCGACAGGACGGGTGATCCGAAGGTACACTTGAGGACATGTTGTGACAAGCTCGTAGAAGTTGCTAAAGATGAAAGAACCTACACGAAGTTGTTCATGAGGAGCCTCACTGGAGACGCCATGTCTTGGTAGATCAGTCAAAACCCAAAGAAATGGGTTAACTGGGTAAGCATGGCATCGGATTTTATAGATCGGTTCAGGTTCAATACAGAAAATGCTCCGGACGTCTTCACATTCAGAATCTTAAAAAGAAGCCAACAGAAACCTTCCGCGAGTATGCTACTCGATGGAGGTCGGAAGCTGCGAAGGTAAGGCCAGCACTGGAAGAAGAATAGATGAATAAGTTCTTCGTCAGAGCTCAAGATCCACAATACTATGAAAGGTTAATGGTTATTGAAAACCATAAGTTCTCCGATATCATCAAATTGGGAGAAAGAATAAAAGAGGGGATTAAGAGCGGAATGGTATACAAATTTTGAGGCACTCCAGGCTAAATGTGTTTAACGGGCGGGCTGAACACAAAAAAAACCAGCCCGTCCATTTAACGTTTTGGGCTGTTTAGCGGGCTGAGTTAATGGGCTGTTAGTGGGGTGTTCATTTTCGGATTTTTTTGGCCCATCCGGGTTCGGGCTTAACGGGTCCGGACCTGACTGGGCTAATTATTTTTTTAAAAGTAATTTTGCTTTCTTATTTAATGTTGTTGATAATTAAGTGTTTGCAAACTTTTAAGGCTTAGAATTAAACTTTGAAGTTTAAAGTTTTAACTTTCAAATTTGAAATTTAAATTTTAAAATATTAAAATTGAAATTTGAAATTAAGTGGCTACAAAAATTATTTAATAAGACCAATAGGCAATATGTAAGGATCAAGCTCCGAAGGCTTTCACTTGATATTTTTAGTGAATAATATATAATACTTCAAATTAATTTGCAAGTTCTGTTTTTATTTTTTGATTTTGAACTTGCAAATTAAAAGTTTACAACAATTATAAAAAATAAGAAATAGTACATCACATGTTTTGCATCATTTTTGTAAGTTCATCCATGCAACATGAGGTTCTTGGTTTCCGGCATTGGTTGAATCGGAACCATAAACCATTATATCTCCAATTTCTTGGTCCTCCGCTTCATCTACCTCGTCAAGCCCTTGATTTCGCTGTTCTGATCTTATCCAATCTCTGAAGCACACTAGAATTTCCAAAGTGTTGCTGCCCAATGAATGACGGGTATCTCCTAGTTGCTGCCTTGCTTGGCTAAATGCGCTCTCTGATGCGACTGTTGAAATCGACACATTTAGCATGTCTTAAGCCATGGACGAAAGAAGAGGAAATTGATTTGAGTTGCTCCTCCACCAACCCAGCGGTAGAAATTCTTTTATGCGGGGCTCTAGTGACTTTTGCAAGTAGAATTGGAGTTCATCAATATTCCTGCTACTGGTTTGTTGATGCTCTCCTAGTGTAGACCAAATCAAATAATCTTCAACGCCATCATTATCATCCAAAGCACCGGTCCCAGATGTTGAGACTGAACTTGAAGGAATATTTGCATCTACAACAGAAGAAGCATCAACAATGTTAGCATAATAATTATATAATGTTTGTAAATGTTTGTGTAGATCAGAAATACAAGTGTCAAAATCAGGAGTTTCAGTTGGTCTAATATCCATATAAGTATATAAAGTACTGATTAATTGGCTACAAGTGGCCATTTTGATAGAAGGGTTTAAAATAGCACCAATTAGGTAAATAGGGGGAATTGGGTAGAAATATTTTTTAAACTTATCTAGCATAGATTCAACAACAGAAGTATATCCTTCTTTCTTCTTCAAATTATGTAGTAAAAGAGAAATTTCAGCAATATGAACTAAACCATTTACAATAGTAGGATAATAAGCTCCAGAAAACTCAAGTGTTGCCACATAAGAATTTTGTAAAATTTTTACTACATCTTCAATACATCCCACCTAGTAACTATTTCTTCGAGCATGAGTCTTGGTTTTAGTCCATAGTCATTTTTCCTTAAATGCATTTAATCTAGCACTTCTATTATTTCATTGAATTACACCAACAGCTCTTCTAACTAAAGTGATATCATATCCAAATAATTCAAGGCCACTCTTCATAATCAAGTTATAAATATGACATGCGCATCTAACATAAATATTTCAGGAAGTGGTGGATGTAGATGCAATTTTAATATTGTAATAGCAACATTGTTGTTAGAAGCATTATCAAATGACATACACAAAACTTTTCTGCAAGATTAAAAAATATGGCAACTTCATAGAAAGTATTACTTATGAATGCACCAGTATGACTTTGATCTTCATCATATTTAAAAGCAATAATACATTTTTGCATACAAAAATAATCATCTATCCAATGGCATGTAACAGTCAAATAATCATTTCCATTTACAGCACGACCAATATCAGAAGTAAGAGAAACTCTACAAGAAAGACCGGCGAACAAATAACGTATATATGTTTGATATTGTCCAAAAAGCCTAAAGATATCAGCTCTACAAGTACTTCTAGGATTACCTTTAAACAAAGGGTTACAAATTCTTTGAATATAAGTAACAAGATATGGTGAAGAAGAAAAACTAAAAGGTAAACAACCTAAAACAGTCATTTTGGCTAATTATTCCTGATCTTTCTTTATATCGTATTTACCCATTAACCCCCCAGTACCCGAGTTAAGTTTTTGTTGCCCTTCTTCCTCATCTAGTCTCCAATCAAGAGGGTGGAGCTATACCATGTGCCTACGAAGTTGGCCCGTTCCCCCTCCCTTACCGGGCTCATATTTATAAACATCCTTACAAATTTTACATCTTACATAATTTTTATCTTCTTCTAGTCTTTCAAAAAAATTCCAACACTTACTTCTTAATCATCGATTCTTCTTAATAGGGAGGGGAGGCCTACTTGTATTACCACGACCTCCACCCCTAACATTTTGAGTTTGACTAGCATTACCAGGTGTAGCTGGTGGTGTTTCAAGATTATCAGGTGATTGAATATTATCTAAATCATCATTTATACCATAATTTACATTTATATTTCAGGTAAACTTTCAGAAATATGTGTAAAGCTACTAGAAGAACCAACACCACCTCTTGATTTTTTGGAAGTTTTCTTACTACCACCTCTGCTAGTGCACGTTTTTTTGGCTGCTCTTAATATCTATTATGTAAATTATTTTAAGAAATTAAATTAATAATTCTAAATAATAACATAAAAATATACACCAAAGAAGAGAGAAAAAATGGAACGAGTGTACTGAGATTCCGGATGCCGCAATAAATTTGATATCAAAAATCAAACTTCAATTGATAGATCGATACTTGATACCACACTTCACTTGAATACTTGATATTTGATAACAATAATTTTGTAATGGCTAAACTAAATATTTGATGAAACTTGAAATAATAAGTAATTGAGAATTTAAGAATAATAATCAATATTATCATGAGAGAATTAGAGTGGTAAGAGAATGAACTGTGAGGAAAAATGAAGAAGAAGGGGGGGGGCTATTTATAGTTTTTAAAAGGTTAAAATTGTAATTTATCAAATATTAAGGGTGGGGAGCTATTTTCTAAAAGGGCTAGGCCGAAATGGCCATTTCTGCAAAAAAGGCATGTTGGCCAACGGTCATTTTTGAATTTGACCGTTGGCAACGGTCCAGAAAAATTTTAAAAAAAATTCTAACGGAAATCGGGTTATAGCCCATTAAAACCCCGTTAATGGGTTATCAGGCTTAGCGGGATACGGTGCACTGGTATCCAGAAACTTTTCGTCTAAAACCCGCTCCCCGCCCAACCCGTCCCAGCCTGCCCTTAAACGCTACAGTACCAGGATGACCCGGGTTGAACCGGGTTGTGAACGGGCCAGCCCGGCCCGATTAACACCCTTACTCTAGGCTACAAACAAACCCTTGCAGTGGGGCAGTTATTCTAAAAGAAGAAAGTAGGGGCAGTGATGGTGGACCAAGGTCCGAAGTCTCCTCTCACACACTAAGCACCACCACCCACATATCAGCCTTTACCTCCTAGATACCAACAACCCGACGCCACTTTTATAACACTCAGCCAGCATACTACTACTCCCCACCAGCCCGCCAAAACTACCAAAAACCCAGACCAAATTTCGACCGTAGACCATCCAGACAATACACTCCTGTTGTTGAACCCATCGATCAGTTGTATGAGAGATTGAAGGCTGCCGGTTATGCCACTCCTATTCCTGCCGTTTCCATGGAAAATTTCTCTCAGTGGGTCAATCCAAACAAGACATGTGCCTACCACTCAGGCATGAAGGGTCATACTATCGATGAATGTCATACTTTGCAGGATAAGATCCAGACGCTGATTGACACCAAGGTTATACAAGCAAAAGAGGTTGCACCTAATGTCCACAACAATCCCCTCCCGGATCACAGGGGCGAGGCGGTAAATATGATCGAAACCGATGAAGAATGGGATCCGGAAGGGTCAATTGGACTCATTCGTGAAGGGGATGAACCTAAAATACCTCCAGTCATTCTCACACCTATTGTGGTGCAGATTCAGTCACCAATTGAGGTTGAAGTAACCGCACCGACCCCGTTTTGAGGTTGAAGTAAAAACACCCTCAGCTACGCAAACTCCGTTTGAGGTGGAAGTAACCACATCCTTCACCGTGACAGTAGCACCCACACCGTCCTTTATGTCCAATGCCATAACTTAGGACTATGTTGCAAAGGCGAGAAGGAAAGGAAAGGGGAAAATGGAAGAAATCGGTGCAGCACAAGGTATGACCAGGACTGGTAGGGTTTACAAACACAAGCATTTGGGAGTAACAAGTAAAGAAGGCGCTCCCAAGCAGCCTATCATTGAAACTGGCCCGGATGATCTTTGGAGAAAGGTGCAAGCAAGAGAGTATTTTGTGGTTGATCATTTGAACAAACCCCTGCTTAGATATCCATCCTATCACTACTACAGAATTTCGAGGCACATAAGAATGCATTGATTAAAGTGTTGAACGAAACTTATGTACCCAATAACATCACTAGCGGAGAAATGGCCAACATGGTAGGATAAGTGTTGGAAAGCCACAAGATCACTTTTCACGAAGACTAGCTACCACCAGAAGGGCTGAGTCACAACAAGGCACTACATATCACAGTGCAGTTTGAGGAAAAATTCATCGCCAGGGTCCTGATAGATGGGGGTTCGAGTCTCAACATTTGTCCATTGACTACTTTGAAGAGGTTGGGTAAAGGTTTGCAAGAGACGCGAGCAGGAATTATGAACGTGAAAGCATTCGATGGGTCTCAAAGGGCCACAATTGGGGAGATCAACCTCTGCTTGCAGATGGGCCCGACTTGGTTTGATGTTGAGTTTCAAGTGCTAGATATATCTGAAACATACAATCTGCTATTGGGACGATCGTAGATACATGCTGCTAGGGCCGTAGCCTCGACGCTACACCAGGCCGTGAAGTTCGAATGGAATCATCAGGAAGTAATTATCTGCGGGGATGGAAGTAATCCCATTTACACCAATCAAATTGTTTCGGTTGTCGAGAATAGAAGGAAGTTGGGTAGAAAAACATACCATCGCATCGAGCGCGTCAATGCAATTGAGAAAGAAAAATGGTGGAGTAATAAGATTGAAAGCATATTGTTATGGACAGGGTATGAACACGGCAATGGTCTCGGCAAGAATCTCCAAGGGATTACCAAACCAATACAGCTAAAGCGTCACGACACAACTTTTGGGCTTGGGTATGAATACACCTGTCACGAGTATCAAAATTGGTCGCCACTATGGCGTGGTCCTTATTACCCTCTTGAACACCAATATCGCATCTGCACCAGATATTTCAACAGACTGACGTGATATGGGGATCTGAAGAAGATGAGGCTTTAGCTGGCCTAAGGGATCTATTTCTAGACGATGAGGACATGGATTGCAATACAATAGTTGAGGAGGAGGAGGAGGAAGAAGACCTTACAATTCACACCGCGTAAAAATGAGTTGTTCTCAAGAACTGGACTGCTGCACCATCTCGGGCCCATCGAGTTCCTAGGTAGCCGGCAATTAGCATGATATATTTTTAAAAGCAATTTTTAAGCATTTAAGACATTTTCAGTATTTTGTTTTAGACGTATTTTGTTTTGAAATCATTGCTCGAGTCATCGAGTCGTACTTGTTTAAATGTTTTCAAGATTTATTTAATGCATTGCTATTTTAGTATTTATTATTATCCTTTATATTTTCTCTCTACAGCATTATTATCACTTATCCTGATGAACCGGCGACTGTGACATGTAATGAGACAACGCAACCTAAGGATAGTGATTTAAAGGAAATAAAAGAAGAAGATATAATATCTGAGGAAATTGTCAGAGAAGTGGAAAATTTTGAGAATAAGCCTAAGTCCAACTTGGACGAAACCGAGATAGCCAATTTGGGAGATTCAGATATAGTCAAAGAAACTCGCATAAGCATTCACCTGTCACTATCAGAGAAAGAAGAGTACACCTGTTTCCTGAAAGAGTATGAAGATATTTTGCATGGTATTATGATGATATGACTAGTTTGAGCACGTCTATAGCGGCTCATAAACTACCTACCAATTCAATGAATCCGCCTGTAAAGCAGAAGCTCAGAAAGTTCAAGCCGGATATGTGTTTAAAAATCAAAGAGTAAGTCACCAAGCAGATCAAAGACAAAGTTCTCAGAGTGGTTGAATATCCTACCTGGTTTGCTAACATCGTGCCAGTTCCGAAGAAAGATGGGAAGGTCAGAGTATGTGTCGACTATCGGGATTTAAACAGAGCAAGTCCCAAAGATGATTTCCCGTTACCTAACATACACATACTAATCGACAACTGTGCCAAGCATGAACTCCAATCTTTTGTGGATTTCTTCGCGGGATATATATCATCAGATCTGGATAGATGAGGAAGATGCCGAAAAGACATCTTTTATTACAACATGGGGGGTGTACTGCTATAAAATGATGTCGTTTGGTCTGAAGAATGTTGGGGCCACTTATATGAGAGCCATGACAACCATTTTTCACGACATGATACACAAGGAGATAGAAGTGTACGTAGACGACGTCATCATCAAATCAAAGAAAGGCACTAATCATATAGCAGACTTGAGAAAGTTCTTTGATCGACTTTGAAGGTATAATCTGAAACTGAACCCCGCAAAATGTGCTTTTGGGGTCCCTGTCGGGAAGTTGTTAGGATTCATCGTCAGCCGCAGAGGAATAGAGCTAGACACATCAAAGGTCAAAGCTATCTAGGATTTGCCACCTCCAAAGAACAAGAAAGATGTGATGAGTTTCTTGGGGCGTCTCAATTACATTAGTCGCTTCATAGCACAATCAACCGTGATCAATGAGCCAATTTTCAAAATGTTAAAGAAGGATGTCGCAATAAGTTAGACTGGAGACCGCTAGAAAGCTTTTGACAAAATCAAGGAATGTTTGTCCACACCACCGGTCCTGGTCCCGCCAGAACATGGGAGACCTCTGCTACTCTATTTTTCCATATTGGATGGGGCTTTCGGTTGTGTCTTGGGACAACACGACGAGACGGGGAGAAAAGAGCAGGCCATATACTATCTGAATAAGAAGTTCACACCTTATGAAGCACGGTATTCGTTGCTGGAACGCATCTGCTGCGCCCTGGTGTGGATAGCTCAGATATTGAGGCATTACTTTTGTGCCTACACTACATATCTCATATCAAGGATGGATCCTCTGAAATACATCTTCCAGAATCCCATGCCTACAGGGAAATTAGTAAAATGGCAGATACTGTCGATTGAATTTGATATTGTCTATGTGACTCAGAAGGCAGTCAAAGGACAGGCATTAGCAGATCATCTTGCAAAAAATCTTGTAGGAGGAGAATATGAACCACTTAAAACGTATTTTCCTGATGAAGAAGTATCATTTGTAGGAGAAGATATCACCGAAACTTACGACGGTTGGAGAATGTTCTTCGGCGGGGCTGCAAATTTCAAAGGAGTGGGTATTGGAGCTGTTTTGGTGTCAGAAACAGATCAACGTTATCCAGTATCTGCAAGACTCAGGTTTCTGTGCACCAACAATATGGCAGAATACGAGGCTTGCATCTTGGGGCTCAATTTGGCCATTGACATGAATATCCAAGAATTGTTGGTAATTGGTGACTCAGACCTTCTGGTACATCAGGTTCTAGGAGAGTGGGATACAAAGAATACCAAAATACTACCGTATATGTGTCATGTGCAAGAGTTGTTAAAAAGATTCACAAAGATAGAATTCAAACATGTTCCGAGAATCCAAAATGAGTTCGGAGATGCATTAGCTACTTTGTCCTCCATGATACAGCATCCAGAAAAGAATTTCATCGACCTTGTTCCAGTAAGAATCCATAATCAGCCAGCTTATTGCGCTCATGTTGAAAAAGAAACGGATGGGAATCCGTGGTTCCATGATATCAAGGAATACTTGGCAAAAGGAGAATACCCGAAGTATGCAAATCATACACAGAAACGCACACTCCGAAGATTATCCAACCATTTCTTCCAAAGTGGAGGAATTATGTACAAAAGGACTCTAGACCTAGGATTATAACGGTGCATTGACGCCAAGGAAGCTTCCAAACTGCTCGAAGAGATCCACACATGAACGGTTTCATTATAGCCAAGAAGATATTAAAGGCAGGATATTTTTGGATGACTATGGAAACGGACTGCATCAGGTATGTCCAGAAGTGTCACAAATGTCAAATACATGCAGATATGATACGGGTACCACCAAATGAACTCAACGCAACAAGTGCACCTTGGCCTTTTGCCGCTTGGGGAATGGATGTCATCGGTCCAATCGAACCCACCGCTTCGAACGGGTACAGATTCATTCTAGTGGCCATAGACTACTTCACAAAATGGGTTGAGGCTACATCTTACAAGACTGTAAGTGATAACTAGGGATTCTAGTTCATTTTACACTCCTTTTTACTATAGTTTTGATTAAAAATGTATACAAATAGTCCCAAAGGCTTATATGTTGTACTTGTTTGCAGGGTTTGGTCAAAAAAGAGACAAGTAGTCAAAATTAGCTCAAAAAGGAGTGAAACCTGCACAAGTACCAAGAACAAGTAAAGGCACTGCTGCAGCATAAAATCCACTGCAGCCGCTATAGACCCACCGCGGCCGCAGTCCATTTAGTGTCGTCCGCGGTGGAAAAGATCAGAGAGATGTAATTTTGGAAGCTCAAGCACTGCGGTCCGCGATAGATTCTTCGCGGACGCAGTAGCCTCATCGCGGCCGTAATCCATTTTGTGCGGTCCGCTGAGAGGGGATTCAGAGAGCTGGGAGTTTAGAAGATTGGAAGCCACTGCGGCAATAGTCCATTTTGTGCGGACCGCAGTGAAGCCACCGCGGTCGCGCTGCATTTTATGCGGTCCGCGGTGGCCAGATTCAGAGCCTGAGAAATGAAGCTAAAATGGCTCACCGCGGCCGCGGTGCATTTTCCGCGGTCCGCGATACCTCCGTCAAGGGTATTTTTGTCCAGAAAATTCGGCCTTGTATAAATACTTCTTTTTCAGATTTTTAGGTTATCTAATTCGTAGTTGAGCACGTGAAGGCCATTTTGGACCTATTTTGAATAATTTGTTGGCTAGTTTAACATTAAATCTTTAATTCTTAGCTTGTAAACATATTATATGGGCTATTCTTCATCTAATTATCTGTTTTCTTCCATTATTATGAGTAGCTAGACCCATTAGCTAGGGTTGTGTCTCAATCCTAGTGTGGGTATTTGATGGGTCTTGTGTTTTAATGCTTAGATGTTTATGGGTGGTTGATATTTGGACTTATTTTTGTTCTCTATGTTGAGTTAATGGTTGCAAACACTAATTTGTGCCTTTTTGACTTGGGCTCTTCTTGAGAAAGAGAGTTTGAGTCAAGGAAAATTAGTCCAACAAGGAATTGGAGTGTATTCAAGAGATTGATAGCCCCAATTAAAGGGTTATGCCTAGAGATAGTAATACCCGACTTGAGCCTATATTGCTTGCACAAATCTTGACACCCAATTGGTCTTGTGAAAGCCAATTAGGCAAAGTCACTCAAGCTACCGAGAGGTATAGAGTGAGTAGTTTCGTGCATTGGTTATATCGCAATCCCCAACATAACATCTTTGCTTTAAGCTTTAGAACTCGTCAAATATTCACCTAGGAGAAAGTCACTTCCCTAGTGCCTCGTTATCCATTTAGGAAACCTTTCAAATATTTACTCTTAGTTTAACTTAGCATCTCATTAGTATAATATTAGAAGTAACAAACGAACAATTATGATTGGCAGTGTAATTAAGAGCACTACGCATTGCTAATTTAGATAGGAATCCAATTCCCAACCAATCTAGCTCCCTGTGGATTCGATCTCGACCATCTCGGGTAAAAGTTGCATCGACCGCTCTTGCCACTTTGTAGTGGTGTAGGGTTGGACTAGATCACTTTTTGGCGCCGTTGCCGGGGAGCTAACAGTTTTGGCTATCTATCTAAATAGTTTTGTGTATTGTTTTTCTTTCCTTCTGCGATACTAATTTGTGTGTGACGCCCATTCAGGTACCAAAAATGGCGACAAACAACAACAACAATGACCCTCTTGGAAACGTGATCCCGGGGGAGGAGGTTGATGATAACAGAGATGATGAGGTGCCTCTAGTACCTCAAGCACAAAGGAGAGGCCGTCAGGCCAATGCCAATGATAATGTTCCAGACCCTCCCTCGCCACCTCCAAGAGTGTCTCCTCTGGTGCTTCACAACCAAGGATATGCTAGTGCAATTGTCCCACCCCGGATCCGAGCGGGCAATTTTCAAATTACAAATCTGATGCTAACCTTGTTGGAGAAGCGAGGGTATTTCACAGGTGCTCCTCATCAGAATGCTTACAAGCACCTTAAGGGTTTCGTGGATACTTGTTGGGGGAGCAAGCAAACAAATGTGTCCGAGGATGCACTTCGGTTGAGACTATTCCCTTTTTCATTGAGAGGAAAGGCTTTGGACTGGCTTGAACGGCTTCCCAACCATTCCATCACTACTTGGGATGAGATAAATTCATTACGAAGTTTTTCTCACGGGGCACATGGCAACTTTGAGAGATGAAATCTTATCCTTCAAGCAGGAGCCCAACGAACCATTGCATGAGATATGGGAGAGATACCGGACTATGGTAAAGGAGTGTCCCAATAATGATATGACTGAGGCATTGATACAACAGACATTCTACCGGGGCATTAACACCACTAATCAATGAATTGTGAACCAACTCCCCGGGGGCAATTTCATGAACACACCATATGATGAGGCTAATGCAATATTGGAAGAGATGGCTGACACGTCCTCCGTTTGGCAAAGTAGAGCAAATGTGCCACAGGGTGACCCTACGGTCATTCACTTGCACAAGGAGCTTCATGATCATGGGCAGGCAATAGCAGAACTGACAACCACAATGAACCAACTAGCAAAGGCACAATTACAGCAGGTTCAAACTCCTCGACAAGTAAATGCTATGGAGGGCGTCAACATGCTAGTGAACAAAAAAAGACAAAGAAGCCAACACAACCAAGGGAGTTCAGATCAATATGACAAAGATAGTGGTGGGTTCCAAGATGAAGGTTATGATGAGCAGAATGAAGAAGTGCAATACGTGAACAACTATCAAGGCCAGAGGGGCAATTCTTCTAACCAACAACAACAATGGAGATCCCAAGGCAATTGGGGAAATCAACAACAACAAGGGAACAGTAATTGGGGGAACAACAACCAAAATCCAAATTGGGGCAATCAGAACAATCAGGGTAATTGGAATGGCAACAACAACAATTAGGGTGGAAACAACAATTAGGGCGGTTGGAACAATAGAAACCAAGGAAATCGGGGGAAAGGCTTTCAAAGTCCCCCTATGTATCAATAACCCAACAATCCACCCCCATTTCCACCCAAGGGCCTAGTTCAGCGAACCATGAATGGGGAGAATTGAAATGATGTTTGAACATATGATGAAAAAGAATGCTGACTCGGATGCCCAGTTGGCTTCCCACAATACTTCAATCAGAAACTTGGAGGTTCAATTAGGCCGAATCTCACAATTCTTGAATACTCGCCCTAAGGGGGCTCTACCTAGTGATATGGTAGTCAACCCGAATGGTGGGAACAATATCGGGCATATAATGGCGGTAACTACAAGGAGTGGACGAGGCAGTGATGTGAATACCTCCAAACAAAAAGAAATTTTGAGTGATGAAGTTGAGTTGCAAGAGAATGAGATCCCTTTGGTGGTTGAGAATGTGATTGATGAGAACTTGAATGAAGAAGTGAGGATTGATATCCAAGATAACGAGGTGGAAAAATAGAATGACGTGAACCCGTCTAGGGAACACGTAATAGACATGCCGGAAATGGTTGTGCCTAAAGCCAAGGCTCCTTTGCCAAGGCCACCTCCACTTTATCCTTAAAGGCTCGCGAAGCAGAAAAATGAGAATCAGTTTAAGAAATTTATTGACATGATGAAGAGCTTATCCGTTAATGTGCCTTTGGTGGAGGCTCTAGAGCAAATGCCGGGTTATGCTAAATTCATGAAAGCTTGGTGACAAAGAAAAGATCCATGGATTGTGAAACTATCAAGATGACCCACCAAGTTAGTGCAATAGTGCACTCAATGGCTCCGAAGCTAGAAGATCCCGGTGCTTTCACCATTCCTTGCACCATTGGGAGTGCAGACTTTGCAAAAGCTCTATATGATTTAGGGGCAAGTATCAACTTGATGCCCTACTCAGTTTTCAAGACTTTGGGTATTGGGAAACCGAGGCCGACTTCCATGTGATTGCAAATGGCGGATAGAACAATGAAGAGGCCATTGGGTATAATTGATGATGTTCTTGTCCGGGTGGACAAATTTATCTTGCCGGCTGATTTTGTGATTCTTGACTGCGAGGTTGATTTTGAGGTGTCTATAATCTTGGGAAGACCTTTCCGTGCAACTGGGAAGGCCTTAGTTGATGTGGAAGCAAGGGAACTCACCTTCCAGGTGGGTGATGAAAAAGTGGTCTTTCATGTGTGTAAGTCAATGAAACATCCCAACTATACGGAAGTGTGCTAATTTGTGGATCTTGTCATGGCAGTGATAATTGATGATACTAGTGCAATGATCAATGTGGAGGACCCTCTAGAGGCGGTTTTGTTGAATCTTGATGTAAATGAGGATAAAGGCTGGGTGGAGTGTGTTAATGCTTTACATGGAATGGGCTCTTACTCTTATGAGCCTCGGAACCTCTCTTTGGATCTTGAGAATAGTAAGACTCCACCAACCAAGCCCTTAATTGAGGAACCTCCCTTGTTGGAGTTGAAGTCGTTGCCTCCACACCTCAGGTATAAATTCTTAGGCCCTACTTCAACTTTGCTAGTTATTATTTCCTCTTGTACTAACATGCAGGTAGACACCACATTGGCGGTGCTCCAAAAATGGAAGAAGGCAATTGGATGGACTTTAGCTGATATTCAGGGGATAAGCCCCGCCTTTTGTATGCACAAGATTATTCTTGAAGATGATGCAAAGCCCTCCTTGGAACATCAAAGGAGGTTGAACGAGGCAATGCAAGAAGTTGTGAAAAAGGAGGTGATCAAGTGGTTGAATGCCGGGGTTGTGTACCCCATCTCTGATAGTTCTTGGACTTCGCCGGTGCAATGTGTGCCGAAGAAGGGTGGTATGACCGTGGTTACCAATGCATAGAATGAGCTAATTCCTACCAGGACAGTCACCGGATGGAGGGTGTGCATGGATTACCGCAAGTTGAACAAAGTGACCCGCAAGGATCACTTTCCATTGCCTTTTCTTGACCAGATGCTAGACAGAGTTGCTGGGCATGCCTTCTACTATTTCTTGGATGGGTATTCTGGGTACAACCAAATTTTGATTGCTCTGGAAGATTAGGAGAATACCACCTTCACTTGCCCAGATGGTACCTTTGCCTTTTCTAGGATGCCATTTGGATTATGTAATGCACCGGCTACATTCCAGCGGTGTATGATGGCCATATTCACCGACATGGTGGAGGATATTTTGGAGGTGTTCATGGACGACTTCAGTGTTGTGGGAGACTCATTTGATGAATGTTTGAAGAATCTTGATAGGGTGTTGGCCCGGTGTGAAGAAACCAATCTTGTGCTCAACTGGGAAAAATGCCACTTCATGGTCGAGGAGGGCATAGTCCTTGGCCATAAAATCTCAAAGCATGGTATAGGGGTGGACAAAGCTAAAATTAAGGTGATTTCAAGGCTCCCTCCCCATACTTCTGTCAAGGGGGTTAGAAGTTTTCTTGGGCATGCGGGGTTCTACTGGAGATTTACCAAGGACTTTTCCAAGGTAGTGAATCCTTTGTACAAGCTTTTGGAAAAGGATGCCAAGTTCGTGTTCAATGAGGGTTGTATGCAAGCTTTCGAACTTCTCAAGCACAAGTTGAGGACCACCCCTATTATTACCGCACCCAATTGGAGCTTACTTTTTGAGCTCATGTGTGACGCGAGCGATGTTGCGGTTGGGGAGTTTTTGGGTCAAAGAGTGAATAAAAAGTTTCATCAGGTGTACTACGCGAGCAGGACAATGAATGATGTTCAAGTGAACTACATGGTGACTGAAAAAGAGCTTTTGGCTATTGTGTTCGCAATGGAAAAATTTTGGCCGTATCTTATGGGCGCCAAAGTCATAGTTCATACCGATCATGCCGCACTCCGATACTTGATGATGAAGAAGGATTCCAAATCTAGGCTGATGCGATGGGTCTTGTTACTTCAAGAATTTGATTTGGAGAATGTGGACCGGAAGGGTTGTGAAAACCAAGTGGCGGACCACTTGTCCCGCTTGGAGGAGGAGGGGAGGCCTCGTGATGGCCTAGAGATCAATGATTTATTTCCCGATGAGCAACTCCTTTCTGTGTCGGTGAATGATATTCCATGGTTTGCGGATGTTGCTAATTTCCTTATGACTGGTATAACCCCGTGTGAGCTCTCTTCTAACCAAAGGAAGAAGCTCAAACGGGATAGTTTGGATTTCTATTAGGATGAGCCGTTCAAGATCTGCATTGATGATGTGATCCAAAGGTGTGTCCCGGAGGAGGAGCAATTGAGTATCTTAGAGGCTGGTCATTCCTCTCCCTATGTTGTCCATCATGGTGTGGCGAGGACAGCTTCAAAGGTTCTTAGTTGTGAGTTTTACTGGCCAACTTTGTACAAAGATGTAAGTGAACTTGTGAAGAGGCGCGACGAATGTCAAAGAGCGGGTGGAATTTCGAAGAAAGATGAGATGCCTCCCAATACTATTCTTGAAGTTGATATTTTTGATGTGTGGGGCATTTATTTCATGGGCCTGTTTGTTAGCTCGTATGGGAACACATACATTCTAGTGGCAGTGGAGTATGTTTCAAAGTGGGTCGAGCCGTGGCTTTACCCAATAATGAGGCCCGAAGTGTTGTTGCGTTTCTCAAGAAGAGCATTTTTAGAAGGTTTGGCACTCCTCGAGCAATCATAAGTGATGGGGGGTCTCATTTTTGCAATAGAGCTTTTGACACTTTGCTTGCAAAGTATGGTGTCAATCACAAAGTTTCTACTCCTTATCACCCTCAGGCGAGTGGCCAAGTTGAAGTCTCAAACAGGGAAATCAAGAGTATATTGTCAAAGACAGTCAATGCAACTAGGACCGATTGGTCAAAGAAATTGGATGATGCTCTATGGGATTACATGACAGCTTACAAGACTCCGATTGGTATGTCTCCGTACCGGTTGGTGTTTGGGAAAGCTTGCCATCCAGCGGTTGAGTTAGAGCACAAGGCCATGTGGGCTTTAAGGAAGTTGAATCTTGAATGGGATGTGGCAGTAAATCTTCGTGTGGAGCGGCTTAATGAACTTGATGAATTCCGATTCCATGCCTACTCCAGTTCGTCCTTGTATAAGGACAAGATAAAGTACCTTCATGTCAAGTATGCTCGTAGCAAGGAGTTCAAAGTGGGTGATTTGGTTCTCTTGTTCAATTCTCGGTTACGTCTGTTTCCGTGAAAGCTTAAGTCAAAATGGAGTGGACCTTTTGAAGTGGTGCTTGTGACTCCGTTTGGTGCACTTGACTTGAAAAACAAAAATGGAGAGATCTTCAGAGTCAATGGGCGCAGAGTCAAGCACTATCTTGGCAAGATTGATGACAGCCACGTGGTGGCAATGATCCATCTTAAGTGATTTGATGGTAACCTGCATCGTGCCGCGACGTTAAATCAGGCGCTTCTTGGGAGGCAACCCATGTGTCTTTCTTTTTGTTTTTCTTTGATTTTCTTTTTAGTGTAGGATTTGATTTTGGACTAACTAGTTGTGAGATATGTGTAGGGTTGTTTTGATGTAGTGCAGGACCAAATTGGAAAAATGTTGCACTCTCTGAAGTAAGGATCGCGGCCGCAGTGCATTTTCAGCGGCCGCAATGGCGTTATTGCGGGGGAAAAATTTCATTGCGGTCCGCAGTGTTGAAAAGTTAAAATTGGGGGTTCTCTGAAGTTGTCACCGCGGCCGCAATGCATTTTGTGCAGTCCGCGGTGCCCCACTGCGGCCGCGGAGCATTTTTTGCGGTCCGTAGTGACACCTTTGCCAGTGCATTCTCGTGGTTAAGCACCACGGTCCGCGGTGCATTTTATGCGACCGCGGTGGGTAGGTACCGTGGGTCCCAGGTCCTTTTCCTATAAATAGGACCTCAGGCCCTCATTTACCCTTTTAGCTCTTTTGCTCTCTAAATAGTAAAAATCACTGTTCATCCTAGCCCTACGCACAAATTCAAACACTGTTTTCTCAATCATCTGTGTGCATCTCATCCCTGGTACTTCAAATCTGTCCCTAGTCTTTAATTTTGTTTTATTTCATTTTAATTTGTTTGTTTCTATTTCTTTTTCTTCCCTTTTCTTTCCATTTGTAGCGTAGGATTACATAATGCTATTTAGATTAGGGTTAATTAGTTGAAAATGATGATTAACCACCTAGTGGATTGATAATGTTTGAATTTAGCAAAAAATGAGAAAAATATTGAAACCCTAGGTTGGTATTGCCAAGTTAGGCTTGCCGCGACCGCGGTGGATTTTTCGCGGTCCGCGGTGCCTCTTCGTGGCCGCGATGGTTTTTTCGCGATCCGCGGTGGGAAACTTCAGAGAGGTTGATTTTGAGGACCGCGACCGCGGTCGATTTTTCGCGG